ACTTTCCTAGAGATAGTAAACTGAGTACTATTTTCAATAAAAATACACTAATATTATTTTACAGCTGTACTGAAAATTTAGAAACAATTATTAAGAAACAATGCTAATATCTTAAATAAAAACTCAGACCAAAACCAAAGAAATTTAGTCAATATAAAATAATAAAAATAAAAATAAAAAGAGATGAAGATATACAAAAATTATGTAACACTAGAAATTCTCACATCTGTCCTCTACAAAATAAATGTCACAAGGAATCTTTAGTATACCAATGCAATATCTCATCTACTGAGAATCCCGAAAACATAAAAGTCTATATAAGTTGCACAAGCCATAAATTCGCTGAAAAATACACCCCTACCCTCCCTAAACTTAACCTCTTTTTCGAACGTAACTCATAAAGGACACAACAATAGTTAATAAAAGTGAACACGCTACCGCCCCTGTCTGAATGATTGGATTTCTCTGTATCCTTGGAAACAAAAAATTATGAATTTTTATGTGCGATTAAAACTCAATAAATTTAAAAATGAGTTATTCCAAAATTCACTTGAAGATGAAACAGAACTAATATTTTAATTTAATTATATAATTAAATTTGAAGTTCTAAGCTTCGGTTTTTGAAACATCGTTATTACCTGTGTAGCAAAGAAACCATATTTTAAATCAGTTAATTTATAATGTTTATGCTCTGCAAATTTGCATTAAGCACTGTTTTGTAAAAATAAAAAATATATATATCAATAAGAATACAGGATTATATATCTTACTATTCTTTCTTTTTTATTAATATATATATATATATATATATATATATATATATATATATATATATATATGTGTGTGTGTGTGTGCGCGTGTGTGTGAGTGGTGGGGGTGTATTTGTGCGTTTTGAACAATAACAAATAGATAAAATATTAAAATTTTAATACACATTGTGTTTTATATTAATATTTGTTGTTTTGCTTTATGATTTCCATTTGGTTCCACGATTAGTCTCAGCAAACTTGGTTATCATCAGGAGAAAAAAAAATCTCTGGAGAAAATGAATTTTACCTGGACTTTTCATTTGTTTTTTTATTGTTAATTATGGTCAGTCCATTATTAGTTAAACGGTCGCTTTCAAGTGGTTTTTTATATATATATATATATATATATATATATATATATATATATATATATATATATATATATGTAAAAGTACGAAAAGAATATAAATTCAAACTTTCTTAACATTAATTAAATAAAGGGCTCAGTTCCAGAAGTAGAGCAATAAATATTTATTATAAACTGTTACATTAGAACATGCTAGTTACCACAACAAAAATGCATATTTGTTTTGATGTCTAAAGACATCCACGATAACGAATAGTAGATTAAATATTCGGTTGACAATTTCAATATAACAATGGGATCATTAGATTCTGCAGTGTCTTCTGATTTAGCTGGATTGTTCTTATTGTACAATCTCACAGCCTATGAAGATATTGATTTATATATTATAGGGTTTTATAGGAAGTAAAGTTGATTAACTTTTAATCTTTTAAATTTTTAAATCTTTTAATCTTAGCGTAATAATTAATTCCATTATCAAAGTATTTGATTTCTTAGAGGTAACTTTGAATTCAGTGCTCAATAATGCCAACCCAATTTATATACACCCTAACTCCAATGATCCGCCATCTGTAATCCAACATATTCCATCTTCTGTTGAACGACGTATTAACTAACACTCCTCTAACAAAGAGATATTCGAGGAACATAAAACAGTTTATGATAAAGTTCTTAGTGACAGGTCTTCTGAAATTAAGTTTGTAGAAAATTATGGTTGTTCCAGAAAGAAAAACAGAAGCAGGAAGATCATATGGTATACACCTCCATTCAATCAATTGGTTCATACTAAGTTGGGACATAAGTTATTCAACTTATTTGATAAACATTTTTCTAAAAGTAATTCATTAAGTAAAATTTTCAATCGGAATAATCTAAAACTTAGTTATAGTTGTTCTAATAATCTCGAGAAAATAATTAACTCACATAACAATAACACATTGAAATTAGATAACAATAATACCTGTAACATTAGTACTGATTCTAATTTGTCTCGTATAACTAACCTCTGTAATTGCAGAAATTCTGACAAATATCCTTTATCTGACAAGTGCTTAACGAAATCCCTTGTGTATATGTGCTCTATTTCATCAATAGAAAATCCCAAACTTGTTAAAATTTATATTGGGAGCACAAGGAATACCTTTAAAAACGTTTGTACAACCACCCTTTACTAATGCTGACAAACGAAATGATTTCCCGTTTTAAATATTTTGGAAATTGAAAGACGGAAACAAAACACTAAAGTTAAATGGAAAATTCCAAAACAAGCTAGAATCTGTAGATCCTGACTGAACTGTGTTCCCTTCGTCTACAGGAGTAAATTGAGATAATTAGCTCTTGAATAGCAATCAATTGTTAAATCAGATATGAAACTACTGTGAATATAAAAGTATTAAAGTATGAACCTTACAAACTTGCTAAACTTTATAACTCAATAATCACTATTCTTATGTTATACTACCTTTATATTAACATTTTAATGTTATCTTTAGTGGTGTATTCTTGATTAAGGTATGAAATATGTTAGTATTCTTAAACTAATCGTAGTGTGGTTAGCCGAAAATTTGCTTATAATTATTTTACTTGTGATGTTGTTTGATAATGGTTTTTAATTTAATATGAATATTATGTCATATAAATGTTTAAAATTTATTTTAGTTTCTTTTTTTATATATATATATATATATATATATATATATGTTAAGAAATGGACAAGGTCCGACAATTTATTTATTAAAGACATTTTTATTTATGTTTAATCTATAAAATAACAACGTTAAACATAAATAAAAATGTCTTTAATAAATATATATATATATATATATATATATATATATATATATAAGTTTAAAATTTAATTTCTATTTTAATTTATATTGTAAAAAGTTGGTATGGTTAACTAATAGTTTTGTTTGTATCTGGTTTTTCTTCTTAAAGTGTCTTTTGTTTGGGTACTATTTTAATTTCGTTTGAATATGTGATTTCATCCAAAATGCAATAAAGTTTGAATTGCTACATTGTACCCGTAATGTTTCCTATCATGTTATATTTCCGTTCATTTTTTTTAATTTTCCATCTTAACGTGTCTTCATTGGCTTAATCTGGTACCAACAACTCATTTCTTATTTCTTCTCTTACCTTTTAATTTGTATCTGTCAAATTTGTATATACTCATCTCCTTTTTCCTTTCTTCTCTTTGCAGTAAGGTTGCTTTCTTATGTTTTCTTTTGTCTTTCCTTTTTTTTCCCCTCTTTATTTTTCTTTTTATTGATTTCTTATTTTCTCTCCTTTTTTAATTTAATGTGCTTTTTTCTTTCTTTTCCTTTTATGGAATGAATATTCTTTATATATATATATATTTGTTTCTTTGTCTTCGAAAACTTTTTGAAAATTTTCAAAAATGTAAAAAGAAGTGATGTTTCAGAAATTGTAATTTTTAAATAAAATCGTTTATTGCCATCATTGTTAGCTGCCTGAAGAATAAATTTTTCCCTTCAGTTTTTAATAGAAAAAAAATTAATTCTTACGAATAAATAATTACAATATAAATTTCCTATCCCTAACATATTTCATTTATCTTGAAGGATAAAATTGAATAACTTAACCCATATACTTCCGGGGTTTTTTTATTCTTGTTTTCTTGATATCAAAAATTATTCCATTTCTTCCAGATCTCTGCTTCCTGTTGTTCCTTCTTCTCTGAATAATGTCTTCTCAAATGCTTTAACTTTTTTCGTCTTATCAACTCGTACGACAGAGTTAAAGGAGTTCATATTAAGATCACGCGCTAGACGGAAGAAGACGAGAACAGACGAGGGAGAATTCAACATACCCCATAATTAAGTCGAAAGTAACGTTGCGTTAAAAACACAACAAAACGGAAGGCAATATTCCGAAAACTAAACAAAGAATATACTTCCTCTCCGAACAGAATAAAAATTTTAATATTTGAATATCTTTCAATATTAGGGAAGCGGAAAAAACATCAAGATACTTTAATTGGCGTGTTTATGCACTCGGAAAAATGCCACCCCAAGAGAAATGAAATATGCAGAATCGCTTTGACAGAAAAATGGACACCATCAATACACAGACGCACGTGTTTGAATTCATGAGTGCGTGTGTTAATGTGTTCATTCAATTTCCTGGTGAACCATATAAACAACGCCAAAACACGTGTGCCCTCTACCCACAGTCAGGAATGTTTCAAGTGAATCGATGTGGTTATTTATACATGTTTAAATATTTGTGGTAATATATATTGATGAAAATGCTATGTAAAGTTTTGCATGCGTACGTTTAAGTGTGTGTAATAGGCACAGACACTCAGTCAGGCACTCAGACAAAAAAGTGTTAATTTGTGTTTGCTCCATTGTATGTGTGTGAAAATGTGTGAGTGTTTGGATGTAGGTAAATCAATAAATATGTAGCCTGACGCGAAAAGCAAGTATTTTATACAACAGGCATTTATTTCAAAACATAATTCATTTGTGAGTAAATATAAAGAAACTTATAAATTGTATTTCAAATGGTACGGATTATCATTCTATCTATCTACCTATCTTATTCTGTTCATTATCTATCTATCTCTCTGTCTTTGTGTTTGTGTGTGTGCGTGAGTGTGTATATATGTGTGTGTGTGTGTGTGTTGATGTCAGTAATGGAAAGCTCACTTGTCGTAACACAATTTCAGATGTCGATTGACACAGGAATTTTATGACAGACAGCCTTCCCGAGGTAAGCGACATTCACATCTTTGTCATTTTAGTCAGAAAATATAAATTACCCGAAAAGCACACACAATCGCAAAAAACCGCAATATAAGATATAACATATTTGTATGTATACATACACCATCATACACACACACACACACACACACACACACAGATAGATAGATAGATAGATAGATAGATAGATAGATAGATAGATAGATAGATAGATATGAAGAGACTGGATTTGAAAGATAGATATGAAGAGACTGGATTTGATAGATAGATAGATAGATAGATAGATAGATAGATAGATAGATAGATAGAAAGAAAAGTACAGGCTAATGAAACAAGTGGAGGAAAATATTCCAAGGATGTTGCTCATTCCAAGCAAAGTCAATAAGATGAGCAAAGATTAAAAGAGATGCTGGCAAGGGGAAGGACGTAGACCCAGCTTTTCCTCATTTTATTTGCCATCAGTGTCGCTAAATATGCTTGTGAAACACAAGACTCCAAGGCCACCTCAGGAGTCATATAGACAGCCCGCCAGCAGATTATACGCAAGTTGTTATGGCAGACCCGCTTTATCTGTGATGTATTGCGGCAAAGTCTGCAAGAGTTGCTCCAGACTTACGAGATTTAAAATCCATAATATTCCTCTACTTCATAGGCCTGGCCGTCAGGCCTAAAACACGGATTTAGTTCGCAGTCTTTGTGGCAAATTATGTAAATCTCTCGTCGGCCTCAAAAGTAATTACCGATATCCTCAAATTCATCGGGACAATCAGTTAATCAGATTCTCATCGATGGTGATTATCCTGTAACGAGTCGACACATCTGTAGAGGGTGTTTCACAATTGTTGAAACAAAGCAGCGGCCTCTCAGATGGGGTGAGCTCGAGGAGTGTGAGAAAATAGATAGGGTGGGACAGTGGTTCCAGAGGGATGGTGCTCCTCCTCACACTGCTAATGTTACCATGAAATGTTTGGTGAGCGCCTCATCAGCCGCAAAGGTGAAGTAGAATAGTTACCTCACTCGCTTGACCTGAACCCCCCCCCCACCTGCCAGATTTCTTCCTGGGGGGTTCCTCGATGACAATTTCTAACAAGGTAATCTTTTTATCATTGATGCATTATCACTCAAATGTTTCAAGCGATCATCCAGGAGAAATCTGCAAGCATTTTCAACAACTTTGCGTTCAACATTGTTTTCAACTGAACCGTAGATATCAGGAGCATGTAAATTAGGATACCTCCTGACATTTTAAAGTTCATGTTTGTGCCTAAATTTCTGCAGATTCTAAAATGCTATCGTTTTACATTACAATAAATGTAATTACCATTGGTCTGTCATTTGTGGTCCTTGATTTGTGCTCAATCATTTTGTTTTAAAAAAATTGGCATTCTGTCTGTCTTTCTGTCTGTCTGTCTGTCTGTCTGTCTCTCTCTCTCTCTCTCTATATATATATATATATATATATATATATATATATACTAGAAGCCGAGATCGAAACACGATCGATTTGTCATCATTCAGAGACTCCACTTTTAAGGTACCGGCGCACAACAGAGAAAGGTAATCATTTAAAGAATTATATACGCCATGTATATCAACTCTAAATCAGCAGCCAGAGCGCTCAATTCATACGAAGAGCTGTGTGTTAAGCAGGAGCAACTGCTGTTAAAAATCCCTTTTCTTCGTAGGGCTCATTAGTGCGAACGAGAGCAAGTCATATATATATATATATATATATATATATATATATATATATATATATATATATATAGAGAGAGAGAGAGAGAAAGAGAAAGAGATGGAAGGGAAAGAGAGAGTGAAGAGACTGGTTTTCTTGGTTTGTACATAAGACATAATCTTAAAATTCTCCTCACAGTTTTCTCCGATTAACTTGAACATGACGTTGATTCAAACACACGATATTTATGTATTTTCTATCGTTCAGGATCCGATTTAAAATATCTGGTAAACTTTTGATTCGAAGAAAGACAGTTATTCCTATTTAAAAAGATTATTGTTACACAGTATACACAGTGAAGTAATGGATAAGCGGCTCGGTTCGAGGAATCGGAGAGTCAAGTTCGAATTCCAGTCGAATCCATTACATTCACTTACGTACTAATACCCTTGGGGAAGGTATAACTCCTCCTCTTCTCCCTCCCAGATATGGGCAAATACCAGGACAAACCGTATTCTAGAAACTTGAATATAGCCTTGGATGGCAGAAAAAATGGCATCCTACTGCGGGAAAAAATATCTACCTAGTTTGTCGTGTATCGGAAGATACATGATCGTCTAAGCGCGTATCACGCATGGCACATACCTGATTGACTGAATATATTTTCTTTAATTGTATTTTCTTCCTAAGTGTAAAATATCTATTGATAACTAAGTGTGTGTATTGATATATAAATAGTCATCATCATCAGAACAACTTGTGTTTTCTTACATGAATATTCATACATTTGTAAAGTTTGTTTATAAATTTAGTTTTTGAGTTAAACGTTATTAAATTCGACTTTAGGTAAATCCTGAGATTTTCCTACACATTATGTGGTATCTTTTGTCCATGCTTTGAATATTGCTGTCACATATGGTCCAGTGCCCCTGCTATTTACCTAGAACTCCTTGATAAAATCGGATGAACTTTTCACTATATATATATATATATATATATATATATATATATATATATATAACCTTTTTGAATTGATGCGCTGTACAAAACTGTCAAGATATAATTAATTTATAGTTGAGCTGGCTAGATGTAGCCGTAAGTTCTATGCTAACAGTTCCTTTTGTCTTATTTCCCGCTTGTAGAACATCCTTTTGTCTCAATGCATTCCAGCCTACTTTAATCTGTTAAAATTTAACTACAATGTCAATCGCTATCAACTGTTCTCCTAATTACTCTTTCGGCTTGCCTCTCATTATCAATGTTTCTGTTTATAATTCTTCCAAGTCCTGTAATCGCTTCTTGTGTCTTACTGGCTTTACTGCCTGGCATGATGTGGTACCGTTTAAAAAATGTTTATTGCTTTTGAAACTTTATAATGTAAATTTTGGTATATTCGGATATTCGGAAAATCTTATCACAGAATAAAAACAAATCTATCAATATGTAGCAAATGTTGCCTTTGCCAACGGCATAATTATTAGTAAGAAGAAAATCCCATGAAAAATGTAATTCTTTAATTTCATGTTGAAAGAATATGAGATACTGGATGGAAGGAATTCTGATCGAGCTAAATTGACTCCTTCCTTATTTTAAAGAATTTAATAATAAAAGAATGTTGTAATGACCTATTAAATGGAAATGTCATGGTGCTAAGACGGTTGGTACGATATGATGAATTATCTAAACTTTCTGATTTGATCTATGATAATTACCGTGATTTATTATCATTTTGCCGGAAGAAAATGTCTGTTCCCCAAAGCTAAATATTTAGAGAGTATGTATTTCAATTTACTTCAATCAATAATTCGCCTGCCTTTTTCTAAACAGAAGCTTACCCTTTTAATCTGATTGCCCAGTAAGACGTTTGGAAAATGGAAATGTGTTTTCGATACTGATCGGAATTTTTGCTAAAATCCTCAGATCCTTCATAATTAAACAAATCACTTTCGTGCTTGCTTTTGTTTTATAATTGCTGAATATAATAATTATATTCTTAAGCAATAAATGTCTCTTTTGCTACACGTGAAAAATGTTGGTATTCCTTCTCCAAATTCACGGCATAATTCTTGGCAAAACCAATATTTACAATGAGAGACTTTAATTTGAATCTTACAAATTTGCAATATTTAATTACTAAAAGTTTCAGGTGCACAAAAAACAACAATTTGTTTTTCACATGGATTATTCTTTCTCTAAATTTGCTAGATTTTCTAAGTACGGTACCTTCTTAAATTTACATAAAAATTATTTCGAATGTTATTTTTGTATGTATTATTATTAGCCAAAAGCATGTCTACATACTCAACTTGGAAAGTTTTCATTTAAATTTGAGCAGCGTGCTCTCTATTTCTATTCAGAAAATCTAGCAAGTTTTTCATTTGTGAAGTGTTTACAAGGAATATTATCTTTTCAAAATCTCTTAAAAACCAATGGGATTTTTTCATTAGATTTGCAGATGAAAAATATTAAGCGAATATCAAAATCTCTAAGAGGTTTCATTAGTAATTTTTCGAATAATTATTCATCTTATTTTTGTTGTTTTTTATTATAAAAGAAATACTCATCAAAAGTTAATAATTACTATAATTCATCAAAAGATTCAAACACCTCAAGGCAGTTAAGTGCGCTATTCTTTGATGTAAAAAAGCAAGTAAATAGGATAGGCAACAATGTATAAAAATGAAAAAAAATGTTTAGCTTATGTGTCCCGTAAGCAAATCGATAATTTGATGTCCATATCAGAGAAGATCCCTAGGATAAGAGGTGAAAATGCAATTCAAACTTTTTCAGAGCAATGCTGAATGTAAAAACTCGATCGTTGCATTAAATGCTAACAAAGATGAAAGGTAACATTTTTGTACTATTGCTTACAAGTCCTAAGTGCCGCTTAAGGTAGAGGGATGCTGAATGGAGAATTTGTAAGGGTGTGTAGGGAGGGGGGAAGGGTTGCATATTGTGACAATATATAGGATAGATAATAGATGCCTCTCGACTTGCAGTGGTTAATTTTGTAGTAAGGAGGGAAGAAACCTCTCGAGAGTCCATTCAACATTGTAATAGTTCTGACGTAAAAGAGTGAGACCTCCTCCTTGCTTAACTAGTAGAAAATTAATAAAGGTATTATTTATCGAAGGAATGCATAACAATATCAAATATAGAATTGCCTTAATACGAGTGTATGTGCGCAAGACAAATAATTCTATTTGTAGTTCCTGGTACACCACGCCTTAAAGAAATACAAAAAATTGTACTCACAAATTACAGCTCATACATTACGAAGACATTTATCTATGTACAATGTGTGTGATCTAAGTTTATGTTTGTTGGAGGGGGGGTGAGGAAGAGGAGTAGCAAAATAATCACTGGAAAACGTAAGATAATTATAAAAAATTAACACTGTTACGTCGAATATAATTTTACCGTTCTTGATTTATCTTTCTGTCGAATAAGAACCTTAATTCAAGAGTTTTTAATAAATGATAGATTTCTTTGTTAATTTTCATAGTTGTTAGTAATAAATGCCTTATAGATAGTTGGAATCAAATACCGTTGCTAATTGTTGCCTTATCGGTAATCTAGACAGATAAGACGATCTCGTAATCGGAAAGCATTTTCCCATTAATCATCATCTCTTCCATGATTCTATCTGTAATTTATATCGTTATGAACAACGATTTTTCTTCACCCACCCCCAATGACTCGACTAGGCTGAATAGTATTTTTTCTGACTCTCACATATCTAACACAAGTTTTTTTTTTATCTTGTGCAAGTGCTTCAGAAACAAAAAAAGAAATAATTACATTTCGTTAATGAACTCATAATGTCCTCTATACCAAGAGAAGACACTGCATTCTTGATAAGAATAAGCGATCTTCTCGTTCCTAGAGAGCCATGAGACATCAACTCATTCTTGTGTCGTTTGGATTGACTGAAAAATTTGCTTGTGTATATGAAAAAGTAAGATTTAGAAAACAGCATCTTTTAAAAGACCGAACGATGCACTAACACAAAGAATGTCGGACAATATATATTACTAAACGTTCATTTTCATTGCGTTGTTTATACGACGGGATATCTCGTATTACGTAGCATTTTTTAGTTCCTTCGTCTTTGATGTGGTGTCATTGTTTTTCTAATGAATTAAAAAAAAACAACCGAGATGAGGACATATGTCCGATTAAATTAGTGTATAATAAGAGACCAAGGAATGTGAACGGCGCGTGAGAACGGAATGTACTACTTTAAATCTAACTCATTGTGTAAATGCTATATATATATATATGTATATATATATATATATATATATATATATATATATATATATATATATATATATATATATATATGTTAACATTACGCCCCGAGCAAGGTGTGAAGCCACTAGGATGCAGGGGATAGCAGAAGATTTGGAGCAAGAGCAGGATAGGAGTGATAGAAAAAGGATGAGGAGAAGGATAGTGTGTAGATCAAGGTAACTGGAGGTGTCGATTGACATTACATTTGAATAGTTGGAGATTATAGCTCTCAGGGAAACAGTAATAGGGAAGGGTGTTCCACAGGCGAGAGGTGTGAAGTATGAAGCTATTGGAGTAGAAGAGACGGCTACATTTAAAAGTTTCTACAGTGTAAGGGTGGGAGCGAATGCCAGCCTCGTAGGGCGCTTGAATTCATGGAGTCTGGGAACCAGTGAAAGCAGATCAACGGAGCAATTACCATGAAAGTATTTTTAGAAAAGACAGAGAGGCGACGGCGCGTCTGTGATATATATATATATATATATATATATATATATATATATATATATATATATATATTACAATATGAGCTCTATTTCGGAATAAATGATGGAAACTAGTTATTACGATAATCATTACATATATTTTACTAAAAGATTCATTTTACACACACATACACATATATATGTGAGTCTCTGTGTTCGTCTGTGCGTATGTATTTCTTATTAATATAATGGGTATTTTACTAGATTCACATGTTTGCGTTGCTATCCCATTTTTGATTTTATTAAACAATGAAATTAGTAACAACCGGCCTAAATTGAAAAGTCTTACTGAAGAAGGTTGTGTCTCCGGCAAGAATCGAACCTACACCCATTTTTTTCATTAGGGAATCCAATTATTCAGCTACCAGTTAGACAACAGAAAGTTCACTAAGCATAGTTGCAGTATTGATGAAACACAAATCTGCCAGAGCAGATGTCTGCAACAGAGGAGGAATATGCATGGCACAAAATTTAATATACGAAGCTACAATTTCCCTCTAGTAAATGCAAAACCAAAAAAAAAAAAAAAATATATATATATATATATATATATATATATATATAGGAATATCTGCGGGAAATTGGAAACAGTGTTTTGTACAACCATTGCCAGTCCTTCACAAATGAATCCAAAAGACACCAAACAGCACTATCGAAACACTGTTGGGATTTATTGGAAAACGGCTTCACCCCACAAGTGAAATGGAGAATCAGAGACTGATGTGACCTGTGTATTAAATAGAAGATCCTAATGATAACGCATAAAGGTCCTGATAAATTACTAATCCAACATCACGAGATGATTTTTAAATGCAGACATAGAAATCATCTCAAGTTAACTCACTACATATTAAAAAAAATTATTACGATGGTAAATATTGGCTTATTTTTAGATATGAAGATGAGTGTATACACACATGTGTATTTCAAGTATATAATTTTATGTATATAAAATTGGATATGGATATGTGGATTTATGTGTATATGTATATACATGTGTATATGTTTTATATACATATATATATATATATATATATATATATATATATATATATATATATATATATATATATATATATATATATATATATTGTGGGCTCTTGTTTGTAAATATGTATATTCAAAATTTAGATAGGTATATATTTATATGTATTGATTCATGCATATGGGGTATATATATATTTGTATATATTTATATATATATATATATATATATATATGTGTGTGTGTGTGTGTGTGTAAAATATATAGAAAATAGGAAAGAACTCGTTAGGTAAATAATCCAAAGTTCTTTAGTATTTTTGTTATTATTTTAAAAAAATAATGTTCGATACAAAAGTAGAGCATAAATATAATTATTTATTTAAAAATATGATTTCAACACGCTACATAAGAGGTCTCATGTACTGATGTTCTTATTCCTGAAATTTACGCATTTTATGAGTATATTCATTATTGAAATTAAAATTACTATGGTAACGGCTAGAGCAATTGTTTAAAGAAAAGGGGCGTAAGGGTTAATAATTTGAATCAATATCTCAGTTACATTCAAAGACGTCAAGTCAGGGTAAGGTTGGGGTGTCTAAATTTAAAGCGGAAGATGACATCGTCTAGTCTGGTTAAGTGTCTATGGAGATTTATTTATTTATCTTTATTTTATTTTTTATTTTTTTCTGAAAGGGTTTTTGTGTATATAAAAAATGTTTTTTGACGAAGTTATTCAAAAAAACTTTCGCTTGAAGGTGGAACAGAGCTTGGTACTTTAATTCAATTTAATTCAAATAATTATATTGAATTTTTGCTCTTGTTTTGAAACATGAGAACTCTTATGTAGCGTTGAAATCATATTTTTAAATAAATAATTATATATATATATATATATATATATATATATATATATATATATATATATATGTAGGTATGTATTTACGAATTTATATATGTGATATGTGTGAATATATGTGTAGGATATAGTTGTATGCATATATATGTATACATGGGTTTATGTTTTTTTATATATATAGAGAGAGTTCTAATGGAAGGACAGAACATTTGTATTATCTTTTAATCTTACTTTCTCTTTAAATAATTTCTAATTAGACTTGTAATATTGGAAATTTTACTCATCTGGAGATAATCTCAATTTAAATTGATCTCTTAGATTTAAATTAAAATATGTTACTCCTTAACCATTAAACATGATGTTAAAAATTAATAATATTTTTTCAAAAATTTAAACACTTAATTCACCACCTAACGTTAACTGTAAATCTAAGTAAGAATTTAAATATGTATAAATATGGATACGTGTGGAGATATGTAAATGTATATGTAAAAGTATTTGCACATTTATATTCATATATACCGATGTATATCGATACATGTGTATGTGATTATATGTGTAATTGCACATGTACATGAATGTATGTGTATGTGATTTTTAGGTAAATATGTATGTGGTGTATGAATGAAAATCAATATTTTTTTACTATTACCTTCAAATCTTACTCCATCTTGATTTGAAACCTAAACTTTAATTAAGAAATATTACCCATCTAAAAATAGCTACAAATTAAATTCATGAATTAGACTCTAACTGATAAAGATTTTACCTTAACAGTCATTCACAATATTAAAATATTACTATTAGTAAATTTTTATTTTTTATTATTGTTGTTTATTAATATAGTATTCGACTTATATTAAATCCCTAATTTATTTGTGGAGAAGTTGAATATTTAAATTGCTAACAAGCATTAAATTTATTTTCTTTGTGGAGTTTTTAAACATTTAAATTACTATCAAACGTTAAAATCTGTTTTTATCTAAATTGCTAAAGCTATACCACCCCTCTTCTTCCTCCAAAAACCCTACGTACATCTCTTATTTCTTATCTTTTTACTTCCTTTTTTTTTTCCCTTTTTTCTCTCTTTTTTCATTTTCCCATATCATTTCCGTTGAGTTGGCCGATAAATAGGTCAATGTCTGATCCTTACCCCCTCCTTCCTCAATATTTAGTATTATAATAAAAAAAATATAAAAATAAATTTTAAAACTCTCCTTTCCCTCTCTAAACTCGACAATTTCTCTCATACCATCCATCACCACCCTCTATGTCAAATTATATAAGCTTAATACTGCCTGTCAAAAGTGTAAATTTTGAATTCCTTTTTCGTTTCACCTTTTGAAAGGGAAGTTTGAAGATCTAGAGAAAAATAAAATTCTCTGGTCAAATAAATTATTACAAATGGAGCCTTAAAGTGGTCTTTTTTTCTTTAAATTAAATTATTCGCTCTGAATTAACATTGAGCTCTCAGGATTTCATCCTCTTTGGGATTATCCATACGGATTACCAAGATTTTCGTTACTTATATATATATATATATATATATATATATATATATATATATATATATATATATATATAAAATATATATATATATATATATATATATATATATATATATATATATATATATATAAACACATACCTAGTAAATTGTGTGGATATGAGCATTAAATCCTAAGAATTAATAATTTTTGCAATCATTAAAAACTGTTTTACTTTTTGAAAATTTGCCAATGTCCTAGTTCTACTTGTCTTGATATAATGTTTATATTTCGGAAAAGCCCATCTACTTCTGTGTGTTTGGGTGAAACTCTCATATCATAGACAACTATACATATCTTGTGCGCACAGTCACAAACTCATATCCATGACAATCAAATGTTTTAGTTCTATCACTGATATTGAGAGTTTCCATGGGTTACTTCTTAAACCAATATTTATAATATATATATATATATATATATATATATATATATATATATATATATATATATAATTATTATGGAGATGATATTCTCATTTTAAAAAAGAGAGGACCTTTTATATGCGAGCAGAACAAGAACATCTTCTGAACAGTTTTTCAAACACGCGCATGCTTGTATAATAAAATTCATTTTGTTTGGTATATTTTCAAAACCTAGGTAATCAATCGAAACCTTCAGAAAACAAATAATTGATTATGAATTTTCTGACAGTTGGTAAAAGAGAAAATATGATCATACAACGAACTATTATGGATTAACAAGTGATGGTGATGAAGATTAACGGTTA